AAACATACAGTATGCCCACTGTTTCAGACTTAATTTTCCCTTTAATGGTGAAAGAAACATGGTGTTGCAGAGGCATAGTTAATGAAGAGCAAATGCAGCCCCCAGCTAAGGCCTTCAGCCCACATTCATCATGGATTCAATTTCCCCCATGCACGTACAGAGAGTATCTGGAATCATTACAACACAACTAGCAGGCATCCCCTGCTCATAAATAAGCCTGTTAATTGACCTGTCATAGCTAATTGCTGCAGGGGATAGGAGACTAGTGTGTGTGTGTTTAAAGAAGAGTTTGTATGTGTGCATGTGTGTCGATCTAACACAGTGTTTGTGTATGTAAATGTGTGTGTAAAATAATGCAGACAGATACATGGAGAGAGAAGGTGTGTGTTTGTGAGTGTGTGTATGGAGGGGTGAGTGTATGAACAGTTGAAGACTCTCCTTCCTGGGTGTGTTGATTTTAGAGCCATTAGTCATCAGCCTTGAGACATGGGGGTGTGAAGTGGACCAGGGCAAGAATCGACCCAACCGGTCCGCCTGTCCCAGCACAGGGCCAGAGAGAAAGATAAGCAAAGAGACAGAGAAAACAGTAACAGAAAGAGATTGAGAAACACACACAGGAGGATAGAGTCACGCAAAACAAAACCCATCATCTTTTCTTTTTTTTTTCTTTTCCCTCACTTTTTTTCCCCCCTCTCTGCTGGGTTGTAAAGTTACCGAGGTACACGCACATGCACACACACTCACAAATAGACACGGAGAGTGAAAAAGACAAAGCCGGGAAAATGAGTGAGAGAGGAAGCATTGTGTCCAGTCAGAAAGAAGGACTGAGTCATAAAGTTTACTCGGCCACATCCCAATAGGGAAGAGCTAACTGCAAGCGCAGCTGCCAAAGAGCTAGAGGGACCTCAATGATGTGTCAACAGACAGTGCTCAAACACAGGCGCTTCCTCTGTTATGTCTCCCAGACCATTTTCCTCCACTATTGACTGAATGTGTACAGTGAACTTAAACTTTAAACTTCTGGTGAACTTAAACAAGAAAAATTATAGCTCAGCTCAAACTAAGGAAGGCTGTAGCCCACAAGTTTAATTTGAGCTTGGTCAGAGTTTTATACATGAGAAATTGTTCTCACCAGTTCCTAATCATGTTAAACATAGTTTTGAGGGCACGGTCATTAGTAAGTAACTAACTATCCTTGTTACAGTGCATAAAATATGGCAGGCTAGGCACTGGCCCAGATGTAAGCCTATTATACAGTAAGCTGTTGTTCATATACATTCTCTACAGGGCATTGGTTTCCAAAGTGCATCTGTGCATTCAAACTGTAGACATGGTAAAATATACACTTAGGGGCCACTTTATGAGGTACACCTGTTCAACTGTTTGTTAACGCAAATAGCTAATCAGTCAATTACGTGGCAGCAACTAAAAGCATTAAGGCATGTAGTAAGTTCAAACCGAGCATCAGAATGGGGAAGAAAGGTGATTTAAGTGACTTTGAACGTGACATGATTGTTGGTGCCAGATGGACTGGCCTGAGCACAACCATCTCTAGGGTTTACAGAGGAGGGTCCGAAAAAGACAAAACATCCAGTGAGTGACAGTTCTCTGGGTGAAAACGCCTTGTTGATGCCAGAGGTCAGAGGAGAATGGCCAGACTGGTTCAGGATAATAGACAGGCAACAGTAACTCAAATAACCACTGGTTACAACCAAGGTCTGCAGAAGACCATCTCTGAACCAACAACACGTCAAACCTCGAAGCAGATGGGCTACAGCAGCAGAAGACCACACCAGGTGCCACTCCTGTCAGCTAACAACAGGAAACTGAGGCTACAATTCACACAGGCTCACCAAGACCACATTCTCTGAAAAGATAAATAACATCCTATATGCACATATCCAACTTTCTCTCTCCTGATAGAGACTCTGATATTGAACTCAGGGAACTGGTCGATACAGGGTACCTATCTGAAACCAGTGCTCTCTTTTCCTCTTCACTTTAAAATCCGTGTACCTCTCTAAGTGGAAATTACTTGGATTATACAGGTGATGCTGTAATTATAGATCGCTTCGTAAAGAGACACTTAACACCCCATTAGAGCTCGGAGACATTCACATCCCATCATTCTCTGAAAAGATGTTGATGATGTTATTGTAAAAGGATTATGGAATTGAGTTGTTCAATTTCTTTTAAAAGGCAGCGACCACAAAGCAGCATTTAATTTGGATTGGTCACATTTGGCTTATCCCAATACATGCTACTTTGTTTTTTTTTTTGTATTCTATATTACTTTCTTTCTCCTGACAGTGGGAAGCTACATATGCATGCTATTTGAATCCTTCAAATCGGTGTGAACCCTTGTTCTCTGCCCTGAGATCAGCACATTCTTGATGAAGCGAATAATCCTCTGGTTACTGTGTGGATAGGCCTGCTGCTGACATTCAGCAGAAAATGAGCTGAATGTTCACTCAAAGGCCCTCATTTATCAATACTCCCCTCAGTACTAAAATGTCAAAATGCTGTATCCACACTTATTTAACAAAAGAAAAATGCACCCCCGGTCTCTCATTTAAAAGCTTGCGGTTAATTTATATTTATCATATTTTTTCATTGCCTTCATTAGTACTACTTTTGTCACACATTTGTGCAGCTTGATAAGTAATGATGTGATACTGCATCGATTCCAGTGGACAAACTCTCTCATTGTTTACTTCCTGAAACTCAGGTGCTGGCAGATGCACTGACAGGGCAGCTGCTTGCCAACAGAGAGCTTGAGTTCTTTTTAACCTTACCACCCCTCTGCTGCTAAAAACCTTTATTTATGTCCGATGTCTGTTGATATTTTACCTCCACTGAGTGATTTTGGATATGCGCTAATTCTAATATGGCTGTATATGAAGTGGCAATGATTCTGGGGGCTTTCAAAGGAAAATTTAAACTTTCTCTGGTTCTTTGGAGCTTTGAAAGTTACTGTAGGGAATTTCCTGTGAAAATTTAATCAAATTCCAAGCAGAGTTTAGAGCCCAATTCTTTTTAGTATTCCCACAATTCCTAACAGTCGCCAGAGTATAAACCCCGCTGTTTTTTCGAGGCTGCAGTGGAGGCCTTCCTCATGGGGAAAGACACAGAAGAGAGGAAATGGCTGCAGTAGAGGAAACGTCTCAGAGATGAGAGAGATGGCAGAAAAAAGGAATGCAGTGAACATTAAAGCATATAATTCCATTTTTTTCTTTTTTTCTACTTCTTAGAGCATGACAAAGCAGACCTGACAATGCTGTTGGCACGTGAGGGAAATGAATCTTCAAGAGGCGAGTGCTGGAGGCTGATTTCAATTCAGAGGTTGAGGTCTTTCAACAGCAAGCAAACTGTAGTCAACTCACAACAATTGACCCGGTCATACCTTTAAGCCTTGTTATGCAACACATCTCAGCTGCTTAGTGTGGCTGCAAGGAAGGGTGGGAGTGGTGTGGGGGTGGGGTTACTACTGTCTTTATTTCCCCTTGTCCACCAAAATAATTGCATGTATCCAGGTGTTAAACACTGGAGAACTCATTAAAAAAACAGTATAGACTTCTTTCACATTGCCAGTAGACTAGAGCCGAGTGTGCAGCTCTGCAGCAGATGAGTGTGCCTCACTGTGATTAATTTTTACTGGTGTCACGTTCGATGTTTGTTACAGCAGGCCAGAAAACATGTTAATAAACTGTAGAAAGCAACATGTCGGCCAATGAAAATGTTACCGTGGTCACTTATTTTTATCTATCTATTACTTATTCTCTCGCTCTTTCAAACTCGGTGCAGACTAACTTGGCATTGTGTTAAAATGGAAAGATGTTTGCATCTCCCTAAAATTAGCGTGTTCACTCGGATGTTGTATTTCCATGACTGATCGGAGCTGGAGCTGATAAATACCGATGATACCGATACCGGAGTCCTTTGACCTGGGTTAGAACGCCAATTGTAGCTGTTTGTCATTACATACAAAAGCCAGATGTTCGCAGGTGTCAGTGGGTGTTTTTTGCAGTGAAAGGGGTTTATGAAATACAAGGTCTTAGGTTACATCCACTAGTCTGTTGTGAGCATGTTTTTCTATGGAAAAAATCCGGCTAGCTGTTATTCTCCGATACCCCGAACGAGTTTTGTGGATTAAAAAACTACACTGGACTTCTTGTCTGCATGAAGGTGAGTAAGTACTGTCTTTATTTTCATTCTAAAGTGGCCATTTCCTTTAAAGGTCCACACAGTTTAATATATTCAGCATCATATTTAGGTTCTGCCATGTCATTGAGCTGGTTTGCTGTCTCTGTCAAGTAGCTGTCTATTTGTCACTCACTCCACAGCAGGAAACTGAAAGTCAAAATAAAAGTGCCACAAATTCCCTGTACTTCAAAATCACTTGCAGTCCATCCAGCATGGACTCACCAACTTTTGGACCGTGGCCCACCAGTTGGGAACCACTGATCTTAACCCAACCTTTTCCTTTACATAACGTCAAAAGAGGGTTCTACACACAGGAGTGGAAAACCATTCCACGGGGAACAGACTTTGATATAAACACCTGCATAGCAAGTGCAACTCGCAGTTCAGACAATGCACTTACCGGTAACCTTACTGCTGAAATGAAGCAGTAAGTTTCATGAAGAAAAATCAGTACAGAAAAAAAATCACATTTTTATGCATATTGTGCTTGCCAGGTGTGAAAAAACAAGTCTGAATGTCAGCTACATCGGCAAAGAATTTGTGACAACAGACTGAGCTGAGGCATCAGACCTGTCTTGGCAACTATCTTCAAGTGAATGATGATCACAAGACTTAAAACAGAAGAAATGAATGTAAACCAGTTCACTTTTTGTGCTTTAATGTGTGTTTTTGTCTCCTTTTTTTAATCTGTGTGAACTGAACTTTGATCTAACTCTTGTAAAGTATGAATATGCACATCACTGGCTGTATTGTTGCTTTTATAATGTTGGGAGGAAAAGTAATTGCCACATGATTACCTGGAAGGGTCCACTGGGGCTGATGTCGAAGAATGCTTTCCTCCAGTCCGGGCCCTGATGACCAGACTTGGTCCACACCACCGAGTCCACAGAGGCAATGCTTCTGACTCTCAGAAGCACATTGAGAGTGCCTGTGAAAAAATAAATACACATGCATTCCCACAGGCACACACAGCCACACACACAGACAGTACAGGTCATTAGAAACTGTCAGCGAACTGTCAATGAGCAAAGACTGACTACTGTGTTATATTAAGCTGGCAACAGACTTTAAGATCATTTAAAACTAAAGGCAAAACATTTAAATGTAACGACCCACACATGATGACTTATATCTCAACAGTCAGAAAGGAGCACATATTGAATGAATGAATAAATATAGTGGACGCACTAAACAAACACTGAAGGCTATAATCTAAGTCTTGTCAAATCAGCTCAGATGCCTCAATCCAAACTGTAAGTGGCCTAACAATCATGTGTTTCCACACAGCTACATTAGAATAAGTGTCCAACTAATGATAGATCCCACCACACTTACAAAAACGTAATAACTGTTTACAGTCACAAGAAACGCAGAAGGCAACCACTGCCTTCATCCCAGTGAAACCACTCCATGTCTTACAGCCCAGCAACAATTTACTGTGCAAGGAGGAGATTCTGTTCTGACATTCTCATTCGCATAGATTTGTCCAACATCCCCAACATCTGTTGTCAAGTTGTCAACACTAAATGCCAAAAAAAAGATTTTTTTTCCCACAAAATCTGGAGGACAAAACTCTAAGCAACAGAACACACTGCTGGACCTATGTTTGAGCACCACGTACTTTGAATTGCCTTCACTTCTATAGGCAAAAACATGGCTGTGCTGTGGACCTCACCCAGTTTATATAGGAAGTGGAAACAAATGAATTGTACACTGCATATGCTGGGGCGAAGCTCTAAGGTCAGATACTGTATGTGGATGACATTTAGGTGGAAATGAAATGTGTGAGGCAACTTGGATAAGTGGTGACATGTTTTGAACTCTACATTGACAGTCTACTGGGTAGTTTTATTTTTGTGTAATGGAGCAAAAGAATAGCAGCAAGGAGGATGGAAGAGAGAACGTCAGATGGAGGTACTGATGGAAAGGCGTTGGAGAGAGGTTGTAAGTTGAGAAACTTTAATTAAAAGTATACACATCACTGCCAATTAATGTTTTGTTTGAATCCTAAAAAAATGTAGGTACTGTGGAAACATGACGTAAAAATCAATTGTCCTGGATGCTGAAAAACAAGCTGGAGAGAATGACACTGTTCGAGCCAGAAGGAAGTGATCCAAATAGTCTCTCTCTCTCTCTCTCTTCCCTCTCTCTCTCTCTCTCTCGGGTCTCTAAGGTGTGAGAGAACCATTCATCTTCTTAACGATCCTCAGCCAGCTCCTAATTGGAACATTAACCAACCACCAGTCTCTTAAACAAATATGCAAGCAGGGGGCACCGAATCTGTGTGTTATATGCTGTATGTATGTGTGTATGTGTGTGCGTGTGTGCACATACAGTATGGTTGTGCATGTAGATGAATGTTTGCGTGTGTGCACAAACTGTCATTCTGTTGTGTGTGTGTGTGTGTGTGTGTGTGTGTGTATCTTTGAGCTAATGTTCTTTAAACCTTGAAATAAGCAGCAGCCTGGCAGTAATTAACTTCTTACTCTGTCACAAGAGAGGCGTGACTAGGGAAAGTGTACTGTTTATGTGGGCAAACAGAGAAGTTACGTAAATAAGCTGTTGAAAGCAAACTGTCGATCCAGTTATAAACATTCATTTCAATTAACCTTTCACCATCTATAAATCCTCAAATAAAAACTTTGACATTGTGGTTTCCAACATGCATGATACCGGTTTAATAAAACATGGCCAAAGCCAAATGTGTCAGTTCAAAAGTGTGTGTGAATCTAAATCTGTCAGAAATGTCAAAACCAATTTTAGGCTACGCTTTGTTTTGCTATAGTTCAACATCATGGGAAATACACTTATCTACTTCTTTGCTCAGAGAAGACAAGATCTGTTCATTCAATATTAACCCAGAGCCAGCAGCTAATTAACTTAGCCTAGCATGAAGTAGGACTGGGCCATACATCACATATCAAGATATTTTTGACCAAATACCTCAATTTCAATTTTGCAAAGACATCGAGGGGTTGACTTGTTGTTGACTTTGGATAAATAATCAGTTATGTGGACACAACAACTAAGAACAGGCAAATAAGAAAACAGCTACAACAGGTAAGCCAAAAAAATAGATAGCTTGACTGTAATGTAGCCTTTAAAACCAGCAAAAGACAACATGTATGGTAAACAAAATCTAAGACAATATCACGTCTCATATCATGCTATGGATATAATGTTGATATATTGCCCAGCCCTAGCATGGAGACAGGAAAACCTCTTGTCATTACTAAGAGGTTGGCAAGCAACCAGCAGAGCCTCCAGGAAATCAGTCTGCCGGGCCAAGAAATAGTCCTGCATATATCTCCTCATTAAAACATTACTTGCCATTTTTCGTGCAGAGAATCAAGATTTAGTGTTAATAAGCTGTGCTTGTGGGCAGATTTTTGTTACTTTCAGACAAACCCAGGCTAGCTATTCCCTTGTTTCCAGTGTTTATACTAAGCTAAGCTAATGAGATACAATTATTTAACCATTCTTTTGTGAGGTTGTCTATAGATTGGATCATGCTGCATGAAAAAGAATGTACTCATAATGCGAGTGGAATAGCCACATAAAAGAGTCACATGCATCACGTTAGATTTGAAAGGACATGGGCGGCTCTGTAGTTATATAATGGAGAGAAACACTGGCTAATGCTGGTGTAGCCCACTTTCACCTGTTCAGCCCACTCTCTCATTCTACCTCCACATATCTGAGCCTCGTTGTCTGCTTCCTCACTCACCACCCATTCTCTCTCTCTCTCCTCCTATCTCTGCTGCACCCTCACCATCACCACCTACACACACACACACACACACACACACACAGGACAGGAGGAAAGAGGACTCTGATAAGCAGTCTATTGATTGGACTGAGGTAAAGCAGAGTGTGTTGGTAAGAGTGTCAGAGAGGCAGAGGAGAAGGCACAGCTCTATCAGGGCTACTTGTCTGTGGAATCGTGAGTGGGGAGGACAGCGGAGATAAACAGCCACACACAGAGACAGAAGTACACGTGCACTGCCACACTTGAACTCAGATGAGTTATGCCGTCTTTCTTTAGATAATTAGAAGTCGGCCCATACTGGATCCCTCCTCCCTCTGTCCCTCGTCTGCACCTAAATAGGGTTCATGTCCTGTTTGTCTCTGCTTCTAGTGCTGGTTAGCCTCAGAGCCAAAGCTATGCTAAACTGTGCACTGAGAATTATAGTCTGGCTTCTGACACCAAACAACAACGACAAGCCAAATCATGTTAATCCAAGTTCTGGGTATATAACTAATTCAGGTGCATAAGAAAAGGGACAAATCTAACCTTAACCTTGCTAGACAACAAGCCAACAGAATGTTTTCTCAAAAAGAAGAATCTAAACCTTAAGAAAAAGGAGGAAAGACACTTTTCAAACAGCAAACACAGCCAATTTGTCACATAGGCACCCCATCCCTCTTTCCAAACAGACCTGTAAAACATCCATACAGCAAACTAATTAAAAGTCTTAAAACAACATACAAGAAGTACAACATTTAAATAACCTGAAACTCTTAATTTGCTTTCCATCACTCTGAAGTAAAAAATAATCCAGTGATTCCAAGTAAGCTTGCCAGTGGCACTCTGCAAACCTGAGCCAGTCTAAAATACCACCCAATGCCAAGCAAAACTAATTAAATGTTGTTTATTGTTGCTGCCAGCAAGCCCAAAGAGAAGCACATTAAGGTGAACAAGAAAACACATCACATGGGGAGGTCTTTATTTTCCAGTCTATCTCCCACCTAAAATGCAAACTAGTCAAACAGCATTGTGCTTTCTGTCCTCGCTTTGCAAAATCCTGAAAAGATACTTTGGCCTGTTTTGTGTTCACATGGCCTCGTGATTATAAAACAGCTAAGGTATGTGGGTCGGAAAAGAGCAACATTTCAACAGCATTTCTAAAAATTTCTTTGTGTCAAAGTACCTAAATGCTCTCAACATATACAGCCCTTTCAACACTTTGTAGTATACTTTGGAGTACATTAAAACTAGTTAGAGTACTTCAGCATAAAGCACTACCGCTTGCATTCTCTCACCACCTCTGAACATTAACAAGTTGATGGCCTCTTCTGCAGCTCTCTGTTCAAGCCTTTTTTACCTCCCTTCCGTGCCTCCTCATACTTGTTTGCTTGCACTTCCTTTCTTGTCGCACTTCATTTTTCTCAGTCCGTCTCTTTTTCCTACATTCCTCTTTGCTCTCTCTCTCTTCATTAGGGCCCCCTTTTTTCCTTCCAAGGCTGGCCCACCCCCATCCTCCCCTCTCTCCTCTCGTCTCATCTCTCCTCTCACTGACCCCCTCTGTCTTATCCTCATCTTGTCTCTTTTCGTCATTAAGAGTCACACTGTGTCTCCCTGGCAGGAGTGTGAGCTCTGCCAAGGTAAGGCAATTAAAGTGACAACAGATTGGAACAGACTGGGAGAACAACAGAGTAAATTGAGGGAGGGCTTGTAGCAGAGCTGGGCGTTAACTGGTAACAGAGTGTGCTAATCGTAAGCAAGCGCTGTGTGACTGATGTGGCATTGTCTTGTCTCATTGTTGTGCTGTGAAACACCTACAAGACTCTGAGCAAAATGCACAATGCGAGTGCTGTAGCATTCACTATACATTACACATGTCTGCACTTTGAAGTGTAAAGTGCTGAAATGTGTTGTAAGAGATCATAGAGAGTACTCAGAAGGAGCAAGGAAAGTAAAAACACTGTGCTGATCGTATACCAGAGGTATACCAGCCATACATTTAAGTAATAGGTAACCAGCAGTTTGAAAAGAAAGTTGTAATATTCTCTAAATTTTGAGGCCCCAATAACTGACTTTTCAACACGAGGTGGGATATGAACATCAGTAGTATTGGGGTGCTTTCAGAACTGGAGTTGTCTTGCTTTGGTCCGAATCAGGGACTTATTTTGTTACAAAGTTGCATG